GTTATATTGCTGCATGGAGACTAAAAACTTGAATTTGCGATTAGCCATGGAATTTAACTCTTCTTCAAGTTTTTCTTGATTATTACTAAATATTGTAGAAACTTGGGGATTTTCAACTGAATATAAAAGCTTAATCGCCTTTGAATAATTCATAAATCCAGAAATTGTTCTATATAAAGTTTGTGTACGAAGTGATGCCCATATACGAGTACGTAATGTAAATTCAGGCGCAGATGATTTAAAACCAACAGAATAAAATGGCAAATCATCCAACTTTTTATTCTTTTTTGCCCTTGAATAATCATTTTCAAATTGATTTGGAATAGTCTTTAAGTTACGTTCTTCTGCCAAAAATTTTGTATCTTTAACAAAATTATCCCATTCAATTGGATGAAGTTGTTTCAAGTATTCAATTAATGTTACTCGAGTGTTATGATCTTCTTCACGAATAACTTCACGAAGTGAAAGAAGAATCTTTTCAGAATAATGAGGTGTTAACACGGTGAAAGTAGGCATATTTTGTACCGGTAAAGGATTCGGAATTGATGTTGATAAACTTTGTGCAAAAAATAAAATTCGACGTTCTGCTTCACTTGATGATGGGAAATATTCTTCTTGACATGATTTATTGGATTGAAAGAGCATCGGTGGTTTTAAAGTTCTATTCCCATCATCAGAAAGAACCTAAGTATAAAAGTAAATGAATCCTAAGGAAAAATTTTTATGAAATATGAAATGAGCTTTTACTATACTGTGTATACTATAACTAGTGAATACAAACCTGTTGGTATAGTAATCTTTGTACATTATCATAAGATATTAAATGTTCTCTATACATGGAAATAACAATAGCGTTCCAAACTTGTGATATCATAACTTTTGGTCTGTCCATATTATATGTGGCTAAGAGCTTTGTATATATCCGTTTAGGTAACATGGAAAAGATATTTTGCCAAGGTGTCCAAATAGAAATACCAAAGTAAAATGAGCGAATCACGGAAAAAATAGTTTTCCAGATGACATACCACAGGTAAGTATCCAGGAAAAAAAGTACAAGATCCATAAAAAACATAATGACAATGGATATTACTGGCATGTAAGAACAAATAATTCCACCAACAAGTCTATCACCACAATCCAAAACCCTACTGTTTACCATTGCTTTAAGTGGATCTTTAAAAGAAAGTGCCAAGAAAAAATAAGACTCAATCATTTTGCAACTAAATACACAACACCAAAGACCAATGGATGTTGCACGATCGGTACGATTAAGTATAGGATAGCTGGCAGTATATGCCTTAAATGTTTGATATTTCTGAGAACATTTTGATGGTCTACCAAACAAACTAGCACTTGGAATTGTTGCAAAAGTTAATGTGGTCAATAATGAAATGACAAGTTGAACTATCCCAATAATCAAAGATATTTGTGTAGTACGTGCTTTTATGACAATGTAATATGTAGGTGCAGTATTAATAGCCAAAATAATAAATAAACAAATTAGACGTCGTGATAACATTAAAAGATTATCAGTATTCAGAGGGATAAAGAAGAACTCGCAAATGCATCCGACAATCATGAACAAGGTGGACACTGCGCCACCAAGAGCTACGATTGACAATTGAACCGCCAGCT